TTTTGGTTTGGTTTTTTGTTTTTTATTTTTGACACAATTTCTCACTCTGTAATTAGACTGGCCTTGAACTCACTATATAGCCCAGGATGGCCTCAAAGTTGTGATGATCCTCCTGCCTCAGCTGCCTGAGTGCTGGGATTACAGGGCACCGCACCCATTTCTTTTTGAGGTGATAAAAATGTTCTAAAATTGACCGTGATAATATATATATGTAAATTTTTAAACCACTGAATTATATACTTTAAATGAGTGAATTGTATGGTATGTGAATTATATATAAATAAAGCTATTGAAAATGTAATGAGGCACTCACTCTAAAGCTCCAGTTTTGTATTTCCAAAAACCCGAGAGCAAGTGTCTCCCTTAAATTCACTCTAAGTTCTTCACTTAGCTTCATTATGATCCTGGTTGTGCTCTGAATCCATTCTCCCTTACACAAAGATACCTACTTTTTATTTCTTCTATATTTTTGCCTCCAAGGAGGTTTTATGTAATAAGGTTAAAAGTAGAAAGTTGTTTGTAAAATATTTCCTTTCCTGATATACATACTCTCACTGGAGTTTATGACAACTATCTTTGTGAACAATAAAATACTCATTTTTTCCCAGACTTAACACAGAGCAGAATAATAGATTTCCTCAAGATTTAAAGTGATAGGGCCCTGAGCTCTACTTGGTGGCAGCACTTCAAAGAATTGCAAGTTTTTAGAGGGGATGGCTATGTGGTAAACCTAGACAGAAGCTTTGGGGTTCATCCAAGTTTCCTGATAATTGCTTATGAATAGTATATAAGGAGAAAGGTGACAGACTTCCAGCATCAGCAGCCAATTAGCCCCTAGACAATGCAGATGTGAGCAGAAAGCTTGATGAACTAGAACTATATACTCTTTCTTTTTCCCCTAGTACCATATAAAGACAGAGGAGGGGGACCCTCTGATAGTGATTTTAAAACCTCATTTCTTGCCTCCTTAACTGAGTGAGATTTTTTCTTCTTCCCAGTCAGTACAGGGCATTGAACCTAGACATTTGCATTGAGCTGCATCCTCAACCCTTTTTTCAGTTTTCCAAATTTGGAGACAAGGTCTCTCTAAGTCACCTAGGCTGAACTTGAATTTTCAATCCTCCTGCTTCAGCCTCCTAGAGTGCTAGGATTACTGGCATGTGCTAATTAGATATCTTTTAAACAATAAAGAAAATAAACAGATACTTTTTATACATTTGATGTTTTTCTGTCATATCCCCCCAAGAGGTAGAACTGGAACCTGGGGCACTCTACTACTGAACTACATGTCCAGCCCCATCTTTTTTTTTTTTTTTTTAACTTTGAGACAACTTCTCAATAAGTTTCCCAGACTAGCTTTGATCCTTCTGCCTCAGCCTCTCAAGTAGCACAGATTACAGGTGTGTGCCACCACACCTGGCTTACACATTTGTAAATAATTTCAAAGTTACAAAAGTAAAATAATATAAAGAATACCTATATATACTGTGTCCAGATTCACCTATTGCTAACATTTTCCCTATTTGCTTTGCCATTTATCATTTATCTAACTATATAGTATGTATGTTTATATATAAAACATAATAAATACTTGCATACACAGTATTTTCTGGACCATTTGAGTGTAAGTTATATAAATATGTGATACTAAAATATTAATGTTATCACATATATTTTATGTGTTAATATATAATATATAAATACACATCATATAATTTGGATTTTAAATATCCACCAAAAGTCCATATATTGATGGCTTGATTCCCAGCTTGTGGAACTATTGGAAGGCGGGAAAACTTTTGTGAAGTGAAGTAGAAGGAAGTGCAGTCACTGGAATATGTGCCCTGGAAGGGCATATTGAGACCCTGACCCTTTCTGTCTCTTTCTCTTTTGCTTCCTAAGTATCATGAAGTGAGCAACTCTGCTATACCAGAGCTCCCTGCCATGATATAGTGCCTTGCCACAGGCCCAGAAGCAGCAGAGCCAACCAATCACAGTCTGAAACCTTTGACACCATGAGCTGAAATAAACCTTTTTTTTAAATTCAGGTGATTTATCTCATGTATTTTGTCACAGCAAAAGCTAACTCAATATATTACATCATAATTATATATAATAGGTTAGACATATTAAACACATATTAATTATAATTAATTATACTGTCATCTAACCACATAATGTTAGGGTCAAAAATGTACTGCTATATACAACAGTGGTCCTATAGATTTTAATCACATAATGAAGTGGTAGGCACTTTATGATGGTTACACAATGACAAAATCACTTGACGATGCATTTACCAGAAGGAATCTCTGTTCTAAAAACCAGAGGGACATTCTCTTTCATAACTACAATTAGTGTTGTCAGACTTGGTAAATAAAAATCCAGAATGCACTGGGAAAACTGCAGAAATGAAGTTTCTGAGCTTTTCTTGACTAGGGAAACTACTATACTCCCCCTTCTGGACACACTCAGACATTGTTCTTAGATTTGATGAGTTTTGGGTATGCTCATTTATCCTTCAGTGCCTAAAAAATTAACCTGATCTGCTGGGCAAGATTTCTGGAAACCAGTTAATGCTTGGCATGAGCTTGCTGATAAAAGTGAAGGTTGGTTGACTCTGGTTTTGAATTAGACCTTGTATTTCTTCTCTCTTCTATACTTGCCCTACATTCCATCTCCTGAAAGTTCTATTTGATTTGGTAGTATTTCTCAGAATTGAATTAGAATTGTCTTATAAAAACCACTACTTAAAAATGTTAACATATATCATTATTCAATCTTATTAAAATGTAGATACTAATCTGATCGAACTGTTTGGAGTCTGAAAATTTGTGTTTCTTTGTAAGCTCCCAGAGGATGGTAACGCATTGATCCTACTAGTGCCAGACTATGATCAACTACCTCACAATTAATAGACATTTTTATTGCAGGCCCTATCCCAAAGTACTGATTCAGAATTTCTGGAGGCAGTGTCCAGGAATATTTGGTACATTTTAAGCATTCTCCTGGGGAGATTTGAGAACCACTGGACTATTGGTTTGAAATGCTCTGTACCTTTTTCTCAACTTGCTTATTTTCTGTCCTGAAAGCCCAGTGCAAATATTCCCTTCTGCCTGATGCTTTTATTGAATACCTCAGACTTAATTTAATACTTCTTTGCAGCATGAATTTGCTATTTATCATTGGTTATATCTTATTGCATATATCCTCTCTTCAGATTTTCTCTTTTTGTTTGTTTTTTTCAGACAGGATCTCACTGTGTAGCCCAGGCTTTGTCTCAAACTTGCTGCAATCTCCTGTCTCAGCCTCCTGAGAACTAGGATTATGGGCATGCACCACCATGCCTGACTAGATTCTATTTCTTGAAATAAGCAATTATACTCTTGTAGCCTCAGCTCCTAGCATAATGCTTAGCATAGAGTAAATGTTTAATTAATATTTATCATGGACAATAATGCTATTAATAGTGGAAGATAAATTTCTCTTCTGGATACATAGATTTCCCAGGCCTTGTGTGATTAAAAGAACCTGCTGACACCATAAAAGAAACACTCAAATGCTTAGGAAAAACTGCAACTCCCAGCAATGTCACATTATTTTTCAGGAATTATCACTAAAATTCTTTTGTATCTTGGTAGTTTGTACTTTATTATGGCACTTTAAAGGAAGAAAATAGTATTTTGAATTTACTATGCCTTTTATCTGTGAGCCTCAAAAGTTTCTAAAACCATTTATTAAGTTGCTGTACAACCATGCTGTAAACATTATTATGCCCTTCATACAAAAAAGCTGACAAAGAAGAGTTGTAAGATACTTGGTCAAAATCATAGTCATTATAAAAAAGCCACACTAAGAAACTCAGGAATGGCTGGATGGTGGACTGGTCAGAACTCAGTATTTTCCAGAATCCAGTTATGCGACTTGAAAGGTGAGTATTCCGTGAAGAGAGGAGGCAGAGATGAGACGAAATTGAGGATTATTTCTATCCTAGAGAACCAATTTCTTTTCCTCTGTATTTCCATTTTCGTTGCTCTATGTAATTTATGACACTTGTACAGTACTGATATTATGGGTAAATAAATGTTGACCATCCTCCTTCTTAACCACTTTCTTATCTATTTTCGAGTCATCCTGTTTTCCCTACCTCCGATTTCACTGCAGTAGCAAAGCAAAAAGAACTACCCGCTGAGGATCACTGACGAATTTAGAACCCTAGTGCCATTACTCAGGAAAGCTGGCTGTTAAAAAATTCGGTTCACTTTTCAGTCAGTTTCATCTTTTGTGTGTAAAATGGGATTGGATGGAACCTACTTACCTCACAGGATGGTTGAAGTGACAGAACGCAACGAGTCAGCTGTAAAACTAAATGAATACAGGTTGTTCCTTTCCTATGTCACTCTGTTTTAAAAATTAATTTAATGGCAGGACCACAAAGCACAGCATAACCTAGAGGCACAGGGCGTGTCGGTAGGGAATCAGCCGTGAGGGACAGCCTTCTCCTCTGAGGAGGGCGCCGGCTGCTGGGAGTCATGGATTTGGCAGTCTCCGCAGAGACCAGGGAGTGAAAAGAACTACAACTCCCGTCAGACGACGTACGGGCACTCCGACCCCGCCCCCCCCAACCGACAGGCGCGTGCTCTAAAACGGAGCTGGGGCCCTGAAGCGCGCGCCAGAGACCCACCGAGAGCGGGTGCTGAGGTGGGCGCTAGTGGTGGCCGTGCCAGCAGATTGAGGAAAGGAGATGCATGGGAGTGTGGGGATGATAACGAGGATAAGACGCGTGGCGAAAGGCAAATTAAGCACGTAAAGAGCCGTGCACTATTTCCGCACCAACCCGGCGGACTGTAAACTGGCAGTGCCGTGGAGGCGGCGGGAGCGCGCTCCCGGGCTCGCGCCCCCGGGCTCGCGCCTCAAGCATCGGGGACTCAAATTGGCCGGGGCGGAAAGGGGCGGGGCTAAGGCCCTGGGGCGGGGCCTGAGGCGGTGAGGGCGGTGGCGGCGGCGGTGGCCGCGACCCAAACATTTAGGACTGTTGTTCTCTCGCCGCATGCCAGTTTCAGTCATTTTGTCCAGAGACCAGGACCTGGTCCACTGGTGAGCGGGTGGCTGTATCCGCCTTCTCTCCCAGTTCCCTAAAGCTACTGCAGAAGCTGGCACTAACACCCTGCGGTTGGTCTCCGATGCCCTTCAGTGAGGAGGGGGCGTCCGGACTCTGGTGAACACACTCAGGCCCCTCAACGCGGAGTCTCCGTCGGCCCCTCTGGCCCGCACACACTCGTCTGCCTGCCATGGCTGAAAACGCCGAGGGAGACCTGAACTCCAACCTGCTCCACGCCCCCTACCGCACCGGGGACCCTCAGCTAGACACGGCCATCGGGCAGTGGCTCCGTTGGGACAAGGTGGGTACCTAGTCAGCTCAGCATCCTCTCCCTCCTCCCCCACACAGCCCGCCCTTTCCGGTGCCCACCGGAGCCCCGGGCCCCGCAGGCTTCAAAGGGGATGGCTTCGGCCACCGCAGGGCTTGGCGTGCCGGACGTTGCCACCTACCTATTCCTGGGCTGCCTCCCTCCCGGCGCCTGGGGTGGGCAGGGACATCTGCAGTCGCTTCCTTTTGCAGTGCGCTCAGTCGCCGCCCCTCTTCCTCTTCTCTCATCTTCCTCCCTTACTGACCGTTTCATCTCTCAAAACATTTATCATTCTCAAAAATAGTCACTGTAAATTAGACCTTCATAAAGCTATTTCATTTGCCAGTTCTACCTTGACTTCCTTCACTCTAAACCTGAAAGTGGTTTCTGGCACACTTGCATGTTTCTAACCGCTATCCGCTTTGGTGCTGCTCTGGTGTGTTTCCACCTTCTGTCGCTAGGTAGTCGCTGGTTTTTACCACTCCCTGTTATTTTCTAGTATCACCTTTTGCTCTTGAGAAAGGAGAGGGTTTTCTTAACTCTTTTTTTTTTTCCTCTTGCTGGCAGTTAGTTTTTGGAAGTATCCTGTCCAAAGAATCGTGTTTTGCAGAGTTTATGATACAGAATTGTTTTTGCCTTATCCCCTCCTCTTCTCTCCTGCTCTCCTTGTGCAGGCATATGGGATAGGATGGATTTATGACAGCCAGAATTAAAGTACAATACAGCTATCTCATTTGTAAAAGAGGCCCTTGGAAGCTCCCACAGAGGACCATGATCCAAGTTTTGGCTTTGTCAAGTGCATGAAATACATTTGTTGAGGTAGAGAAGGCAGCATATTTGAAATTGAACTAATAATACTAAATTAAAGGTTTTTTATGGTAGTATGTGAAATCATGTTGTACAAAAGGATTTCTGAATGATTCGTTTTCTGAAAAGGTTTTATTTTTACTTTGTTGAGTCATTCATGCATTTAGGACCAAAAAAAATGAGCACTGAGCAATATTCTGAGCCCCATTGAGGCCAGGAAATACTAGTGGTAAGGAAGATAGGAAGGGTTCCTGCCCTCAACAAACCTTCAGTTTACAGATAAGGAAGACCAACAAATAAGCAATTATAATGAGGTATTTGGTGTTACTTGGTCATATGCTTCTTGGACATTCAAATTCTACTAAAGATTAAACCCTCGCTTGGGGGGGGGGCGGGATACAGGGTCTCACTAAGTAGCTCAGGCTGGCCTTGAGCTCACTATAGTGGGGGCTGGCCTTGAACTAGCAGCAATCCTCCTGCCTCAGTCTCCCAAGTGCTGGGATTATAGGCATGCATCACCATCCCCAGCTAAACCCTTGTTTCTTAAACCTTGAAGTGCTTACAGATCTTCTGAGCAGTTTTTAAATGCAGATTCTGATTTAGAGGCCAGGTCCTGGGGCCTGAGAGTCGGCCTGAGCAAGCATGCAGCTGATGCCAATGCTGCTGTGTGCCAGTTTTGACTATATTTTTCCTAAAGAGTACATGATTGATTTTTAAAAGGTTGGCTGGATGAATTAACACTTAGTAATTGTCCATGCTATGCCTAGATGCTGTTGAGATATACTAAAATATAACATGCACATAAAAAGATAATACTAGAATAGTTTTGGTGGCAATTAAAGGGTTTATAGATGGCTAGTTCTTAAAGTTCAAAAGGGAGCGATCTGTGGAATGAAGACTGAAAAGATGGAATACATATAAAAAGAATTGTTGATTTATATTTAAAGTACCCTGTATATACAAAGTACTGGCTGAAAACCTGTGTGAGATAGATAAATAGATACATACCTGACCTTCAAAAATATAGAAAAGATAAAACAAAGGCACACAAATTTAGTGCTGGGAGCAAATAATAAGTTCCCTTATCAGAGGAATATCTCCAGTATTGTGTAGCTGTATTGGTCCTTTTCTGTAATTGGGAAATGAAGATGTATCTACTGTAGATTGCTACTGTAAGTAAGCTAGGCTAAATCCAGGGCACTTAAATTTAGAGTATAGAATTGTAAAATAATAAATAAGACTTGTAGCATTTATTCCATTACATGTTGACAATGGTCTTTTAATTCAGAAAACTTGGGTTTAAAACTTGATTGATATCCAATTAGTTAAAAAAAAAACCCTACCAAATGCTACTGATCTTTAATGATTCTGATGAGGCATGTAACAAGTTATAAATTGATCTAGAGATAATTTGCTATTTGGCTTGGTTACTAAAATTATTAATTTTAGCCTTAGTGGGTTGGGGCACTTTGAAAAGTTTTCATGGAAAAAAATGTTGTTTTGAACTTTCAGGATTAGTTAAAATTTAGACTAGCTAATGTGGAGATGACAGAGATCGACATTTTGGAAGGTTTAATATGTGCAGTTAACACATTTGTTTCTGCTATAGCTTAGAGTACACAGAAATTTTTTGAAAGGCATATGAAGACAAGATCATAAATGGGCTGTAGTATGCCTTTAATGGTCATGAACAAGTAAAAGTGTATGTCGATGTAAAAAAGAAAACAGAGCAAGATGAGGTTCATCCAATTTTTATTTAGTTACTACACTAATCAACGGTATCTTTGTGAGTTCACTTGGAACATTTTAGGATGTTAGGCCACGTGTTAGCCCTAAGATTGAAATCATTAGGTTTTCTGGTTAGGGTTATATTGATAACCTATAAGCCTATATCTTGATAACAATGTGGAAGCAGGAATTGGCTGTAGCATTTTAAGAAATAGAGTACCCTGGTCTAAGAATGTAGATATGTGTTGAGAAAGAATGGAATACAAAGTTGAAGGTAGGTTAGGTTTATAAAAAACCTGAAAATAGAAATAAAAGACTTCAACGTAAGCCACTGATTTTCAAACATCTAACAACAGAAGTTTTTTCAAGCAAAATGTAGCTCAGATAAATTCCCCTTTAAACCATCATTATATGTTGGAAAGTACATTATATGTTGGAAAGTACACCCATGAAGCACCTCTACAATGTCATTGTAGAGATCCAAAGAAGTACAAATTGTACAGTTGCAGAACCTGAATTAGAGCTTGGATCTGCCACCTACTTCAATCCAATTTTTACAATACGAGTTTATATAGCATTTTTTGTTCACATTTTTCTAATAATTTACCTAATTTGGCACTTAGTGAAGAGTATAGACTACATATGGCTTTCTTAGTTTTGGAAACAGTACTTATTTGTGTAGTGTCTCAACCTTTATACAATACTCTACATTTGATATTCACAGCAGCTCTGTGAGGTAAGCAGGTAAAGAAAATTAGGCTCAGAAAAGGAAAATGACTTACTCAAGGGCATACAACTTTTTAAGTGGAAGATTTGATACTAGCACCTAGGTCATATGACTTTTACTCTAGTCTTATTGTAGTAGATTCTATAAATCAAATATTTATTAAATGTTAGTGACATCATAAACCAAGTTTAAAGGACTTCATTAAAACCATTTTGTTGGCTTTTGTAAAGTGACATTAGGGTATAATATCTTGCAGAATAAATTGTCATGGATTGTTTTTAAGAGCTGAATTTGCTGCTCAACAGTTGCTTTGGTTTCCTTGGCAATAATGTGCATTCTCCCTCTGTTCAAGAAATTTAGTACATATAAATGAGTTGAATTTTTCTTTTTTTAGAATTAAAAAATTTTTATTTCTAATTTTTTAATATTTTCTCCCCAGTTTCTATCATTTTTTTCTATTTATTTTTATTTATTTTGAATAAATAAATTCTTATGATTTTATTTATTTATTTTTGGGTTTTTTCTGAGACAAGGTCTCACTATGTAGCCCATGCTGACCTTGAACTCACAGCAATCCTGCCTCAGCCTTCCAAGTGCTAGGATTACAAGTGTGTATCACCACCACACCCAGTTTGAATTTTAATGATTTTAAAAAACATAGTACAGAAGAGATTATAATGGAAAGCAGTGCTCCTAATTGCCTCTTCACTTCCTTGGTTTGCTCCTTAGAAGCCATTTTTAAGTTTGTTTACTAATTATTTTTGTTGTTTACCATGAGAAAATGAAATATGCTAGCACCACTATTTCTTGATTTATTTTAAAGTTTTAGATATTATCTGTCAAATATATGCCTGTGCAATGAAAATTAGGAGCTCATTCACACCATTCTCTATGCCTCCTTTATTAGTCCATTTTAAAAGCTGCTCTAACAAATGCCTGAGACTAGGTAATATATTAAGAAAAGAAATTTACTTAGCTCAATTTTTTAGACTGAAAGCCCAAGATCAAATAGCATCGTTTGTTTGACCCCTGCTTAGATCCTCATGGCTGATAGCATTGTGGTGGTAGTGTATGTAAGGGGGGGGGGTCATATAATTAAACAGGAAGCCAGAGGTAGGAGGGGCCCACCTTGTTTATTTTATCTTTTAAATAACAACTATTCTCATGAGAACTCACTTCACAAAACCAACATTTCCTTCCCGGGGCAATGCCTCCAGTGACCCAGTCACCTTCCACTAAGCCCCACCTTGTAAAGTTTCCACCCCCTCAGCACCACTACACTGAGGACCAAACTTTTAACACATGAACCATTGGAGGACAAACAACATCCAAACTGTAGCACTTTCTAAATTTTGATAGTTATTTTTTAGTCTTTCAATTATTTTTTTAAGAGTTTAAATAATATAATTAGTGCTAGCAAAGCCTGCAGAACAATAACTCACAAATACAGAGCTCCTAGCTGGCCATTCTACATAAGAGGAGATTGGTAGAAAATATACTCAATGAACAAAAACAAAGAAAACGCATGCCAGCTTCCAAAGAAAAAATAACTGTGGACGTCAGTAGCTATGGATAGAGCTGCATGAAGAAAACAGTTCACGTGAAAAACAAGATAAAGCAGTGGATATACATACACACACAGAGAGATAAACCAGTGAACATAAGAGCTTAAAATTTTTGATTAAATTAAAATAAAGAATTACCCCATCAAATAAAGAAAGATGTTATGGAA